CAGGAAAAAAAACGGGAGCGCTAGCATTTACAGCGAGGAAATTACATCTGATTCGGTACAGAGTTTGTTGTTGTATTAGAGGTAAGTTACATTAATTACATATTATATATATTATTTACATAATGCTTTCAGTGTATTATAACAACTTGTCACCCAGTGATAAGTACAGTTATTTGGCAAAATTAACGTTAAGGTCAGCGACGTTTATCTGACAGGTCCATTTGCGATAGCGCCCTCCCAATGGATATTGGATTAGTGTAAATGGCCAAGCTTCCGGCCTGATGCTTTCTCATTAAAACTCAAAGTGATTTTACACGAGAGAAGTTAAAGGCCTTCAAGTTTTTGGATGCCAACAATTTTGTTTTGTGTGGTCATGTGCATGAAATAATGTTCCATGATTACCAGATTCAAAATGTAGTGCTAAAAACCGAGGTTCTGCCGGGGCCAAAGAAAAGGAAGGAAGACGGAACTGAACAAGGCCTGGATAATCATCTACAAGCAAAACAACTGCATTCTGACAGCAAACTGCACCACATTTCATTCTAAGCATTCAGTGTCTGCAGTTTAAATGACCATATTTAACAGTTTTAGCTGAAATCATTGCTGCAATCAAAAACAAGTAACGTGTATGAATCAGCATAGCGTGAACCTACCTGACATGAAATGAGAACTGCATAGTCAAGCATTTTTAACTAGGTCCTCACTCCATTCAGCTTAAATGATGGCTGTTAGCCAAGGACGAATTGTCCGATGGATGGTTTTGGCATGCTGTTCCGGGAGAGAACCCTGAGCTCGGAGATATTTGAGCCAATGGCTCCTGCCCGGTCAATAAGCATATCACGGGATTTGAGATAAGGTAGGTCTCGATAGTTGCCCCTTTAGAAAAGGGAGGAAAAGGAGGAGATGGGGTTGAAGAGGGGATTCTTCCAAAACGAAGATAGGGCAATAAGGAGAAAGTGATCCATTTATAGTAAGCTAGGATCACTCGGATTGGATTATTACTGATTACGGATGAGTGGCCAGCAGTGCTCAATCATATCACGTGCTCCTCTTGACATTAGTTTATGAAAGTTCACTTCTCAAGTAGTAGTGCAGATATTTGACACATACACATTTTGAAGATACCTGGGAAGATGACTATAACAACAAAATGCATTTCTTTGCCAGATAAACTCAAATCAACTACAGATGTTTATGATGAGAATAAACGCACTCTCAGCTTAAAAAGATTTTGTAAAAAATGTGTATTTTGGTCCAAAATGAAAAAAAAAAAAACAGTTGCAGTGCCAGAAATATTGATGAAATGTTCCATTGTGTTTTCTACAATTAAAAGAAAGACCAGAATAATTTAATTTAATATTTCTTTAGGTGTACGGCTGTGAGATGTATTCTATTATTAAATTGATTACTATTTTAATCCTTGTTTAGGAATGTAATTATTGACCTTTTACTTCTCACGGTTTGGATTGATCATTTCAGGGCACATAAATGTATTTAATACAAAAATAAAGAGGTTTGTGAGTATTTTATGTTATTTATATTGTGTTTCAAAGCCTGGGATTCTGATGCATATACAACTTACAGCATAATAGCTCTGTGTGATTGCTCTGCATGGCAGCCGAGCAGAACAAACAAATGTTTCAATTCAATCAGTGCCCATGGTTATTCAAGTCCTTGTGCTGCCTTGAATTATGGCTGCAAATTTAATAGCAGAAGTGGCCAAGGGGGAAAAATACTGCAAAAACCTGTCAATTTTCAATAAATTTTAATGTAATTGTGGCATACTTGAGATTGCTTGTATATAATTTTTACAATTAGAAAGTATCCAGGCGGTTGGACTTTGTAGATTTGGACATTGAGTTTGCTATCTTGTTTACTTTGTTTCAGTAAACTGCAGGCAAAAACACATTAAAAAAACATTTATATACACTTTTCAGTTTTGAGATTTTGGGGGGCTATTTGTTTCAGACTAATGTACATAAAACATACTAAATACACATTAAAAAATGTTTATTTTGTCAGTCCATACATTTGTGTATGCACATTACAAATACAATGCATGTTTTTTGAAGTCATTTTCTTAAAATGTTTTTTTTTTCTTCTGCACTGAGGCAAATGTTTCCACTTCACACTCACATACAACAAAATGTTTATTAATATCTATACTCCTTTTTATTAATATCTATATTACTTTTCATTCTAGAAAATAAAATCAGTTTTTCACTGAGTTTAAAATGTCAAGAAAAATTTACCTCACTTCATCAAATGTTCATTCAATCCAATTTTTGTGATAGATGTGTACAAAATAGCACAAAGTTAATTAAATAATTTCTCATTTGCATATTTACACATTCAGACTAAAAAGGTAGATTTTTTAACAATTCATTGTGTAATCAAAGCAACTAGCAAAGTAAGGTGATAATTTAGTATTTTTTTATCTAATTTGCCTGCAGTCTCCTGCTTTAAGGTGTATTTTAAATTTTATTATATTGTCTGTACTCTGTAAGACGATTACCCTATGTTCCAGCGCAGGTGAAAAAAAAGTTTTATTTTATACATTTTATTTAAAAACACTTAAAAAAAAAAAAAAACAACTTAATTTTATGTTTTTTTCCAGCTGCTGGAAATAAGCTGTAAAATAACGGCCGTTAAATCAAAGAAATGTCCTTAAATTTACATTTCTGATAAATTTGTGGTTACAGTAAATTTCTTTAATTTAACGGCCATTATTTTGTTTTTTGTTTTTTACAGTGTACAATTAGTGCACTTCCATAATGCATTTAAAGTGCTCTATTTTGGCCGACTAATGTTTTGCTTAATGTACCAAAAGTTCATCTTTAATAGTACTAAAACTAAAATTAAGATTAACTAAGTGGACTTAACTGTGCTATTTTGACACACCATGAAGCTGAACTAAAATGTGCTTTTAATGTACTATTGCAGTATTTAAATAAAAAAATAAATAAAAAAACTTTTAAACCACTTTTGGTACAATTATAATCATGCCCTATTAAACCTGTACAAATGAAATAGACTTATAAATTACTTAAAACATAATTATATATATATATATATGTATAATTATGTTTTAAGTGTTATATAATTAATATATATAATTATGTTTTAATATTTTTAACAAATTTTTTTTATATATATAATAAGTATATTATATGTTATTTATTATATTTTTAAGTCCATGGAGAATATTACATAGCATCCTTTTTATAGAGGATTAATCTCTGTGAATAGTTGTTTTCATGTTAATGTATATCAATTTATCAAATGATAGAAAATTTATAAAATAAGTAATATTAATGGATCTCAAGTTCTAGCCCAGACACTGTTTTTCCTCTCTTGAACATCCTTTCAGATTTATTGATATAATGGTTACCTCGGGGAATATTTTGCTCGGGAAAACACCATCATCCAAAGCAGGTGTACCACACAGCTGCTGCTCTTTCTGGCCAAACACTGCTCCTCTGGAGGGTTTGGGAGTTTTCCTCGGAGCTTTGCGTCAATGTTGCAAACATGAAACGATGAGTAATTACCAGTATTGTCCGACAGAGTACGCTGTTAGCGTGCATTACAGTCAGGCTCGTGTTGTGTTTTTGTGGTAACTAGGACTGTAGCACAACAAATATTTTGTGGTTAAAAAATGAAAAACCTACAATTTGGGTTATTCTGTCCAGTGTAGCTGTCCCAAAAAAGGATGGATCAGGAAAGGGACTGAAATTACATTAGACCCAAAGACTAAATAAGAATTATACAACCATCTTGTCAGGCATTTTTAGAGCAAGAATCAATTCGCTTATTAAACGACTCTTATTTTACGTATGTTTAATTGTTATACTCTTGGACTGTGCTTTAAGGTTTTGTCAGTTTTAATAATTAAAATGTACAAAATTAGAATGATTTCTTATGTATTTTAATATTTAACAAATTAGAATGATTGTATTTTGTGTATTTTAGTAAGTGCATGTCAAAATAAGTACTGTATGTGTTTTGTTGCATGAATGATACATTTTGTGTACATTTTGACAGTATTTGCAGTGTTTAAGTTATTTGAGACATTAAATTGTAAACTTTTGTACATTTTAATTTGATGCAAATCAAAAAAATTTCAACAATTAAAATGAGCAAAAGAATCTACTTAAATCCAGTCTGAATATTTAGGATATTTTTGTTTGTATACTGTTTAGCATTACATGTAATTTTAGAAAATATATCATTTTTTTGGTCACATCTGATTATTAGATATACTACACATGTGACAACATGTGAAAACAATATTGTTTAATATCTATACAGCTATTGGAAAAAATGAGATTACGATACAATTTATAGTTTAATTTCTATGTTTGAGTACAATGTAATTTTTATTCTGTAAACTACTGGTGAATTGTCCTCCAAATAAAAGAGTATAAATGTTGTCATATTAAGAAATTAATAACTGATGGCATACTGCATTCAATTATTTCAGATGTTATATTTGTTCAGATGTTCTTTTCAGTGTTAGCCTGTTTCACACTGGCAAAAAATATTTTTAAACTATCATTATTTAGTATTAGTCATAATTGTGCTCACCGTAGTTATGTTGTTGTTTATTCAAATATCTCAGCAGATCCTTCTGTTTACAGCCCTACGCAACAGCATTTAGCATTTAACCAAAGTTAGATAACGAATCATGCAATAGTTTAATTAACGCCACGTAATTAGTTCAATTGCAGTTGCTTATTTATAGCCTACGAAGCTATAATCAAGCGATTAAAAGTGATATTTTTAGCAGCTCACAACAGAGTTTCCCGGAAAATGACAACACTGTTAGTCATTCAAGGGGCGGGGCCACGTGCGCGCTCTGTTGTGGGCGGGGCTTAGCGGATCAGGGTATTCCCTTCACCCGCACTGATGCAGTCAAACGCTCGTTGCTACAGCAGAAGTCTAGATGACAGAACATGGAGATAAAATAATAGATAGTAAACAGAGGTGACAGTCTTTTAGTAATGGTCTATATTATGGGGATACAGTCGGACGCCCTGGGTGTTAAACCCACGTCCCTGGATGAGCTGTTTGAGTCCAGTACATGGAGAATTAAAAACATATGGGATGGGGTGAAGCTGGAGATCGCGGCCGGGGATGGATGTCCGGTGGTCTTAAATAGTTTTACGCATTTGGACCCAGATCTACCTATGTTGGAGGTATGACATCAGATATTAACTCATTTTAGTTATTGTATGTGTACAATCTGAAGTACAGAGAGAGAACTTCTACAATGTTATAAATGTATAGGGGAAAAAAAGTAACAGAAATCAAGTTTTTGTATTATTAATTAGTTTGTTGTGAAAGTTTGTGTTGGAATTGTACTTCTTTTTTAGTTTTATAGACATTTATCAGCAAAAAAAAAAAAGTTTTTGTAGTCTGTTTAGATGCTCTTCTAAGTTGTTTTCAAGTTCTTTGTGATTTTTATGGAAATATTGGAGACTGAACAAATTCAGATTCTACCACATATACTTCTACTACAGAGTAGTAATGTCTTTATGTGTTCTTTGTCATGTATAAGATTTATGTCATCTTTAAAGATGGTACATAATCTCCTATGGAATCATCTAGGCTACTATAAAAAGTCTGCTTAAATGCATTTACACGCATATCTAGTTTTCGATAACCAACGTGAAGAAAACCAAAACTAGTTTCCATAATCTTGGGGATAAATAATGAGACTCCCTGTTTCTCTATTACTGGAAACAATGTTCCTCTCTCTAAATTCTCCCCCCAAAAAGCCATGAGAAAATAAAAGTCAAATGAGAATCTCATCCCCTTCAGGTATTAAATGAAAACACAATCTCCTCTCAGTATGATTTAGCCAAAGACATGGGAAGAAATGCTGCATTATGGCATTCATTATCTAAGGATTTTTACTGACCCTCTGTTAAATGCCATCAGATGTTATTGAAGTGTGTTATTTCCAGAGGGCCGTTTATGATGAGATTACTTACAATGGTGCTGATGTGTCAGCTGGAAATGAATGGTCGCATCTGAGAGCTGCTTATATAATACATGACAACACGTTTTCTTGTCAGATCTGATGAAAGACTTTCATTATCAATTTCCTATTCGTGGCTTCTCGAACGCTGCAGAGCATGATGTTTTTCTGAGGCGAGTAAATTATTTTATCACCATGGCAGCCACGCATTTTACAGTTGTTATTCTTAAACCTGAAGCATCTATCTATGGTTTGTGAACAACATGTCCTCTTTTATCTTGTGTTTCAGTACAAAAAAAGCACATTGTTGTGACCTAAACCCCATTCACACCAAAACTTGTTTACGACGCTGCAGCTTTACTCCAATCACACTGTAAAAAAGAAGATTCCAGTGTGTCACCAGCTGCTAACCTTCACTGGGCTAAATCTAATCTGCTCTTGTTACACCATTAGTGATGGTTAAATCTCTCACTGCATTCCAGCACAGCACTGAAGCCCTTCTCCCTTTTGGGTGCTGTTTGCTTTTCTTCATTATTTATAATCATAATTTATTATTCATCCATTATGATGTGAACGCAGTTGACTGAAAGGCTTCAAAAAAGTTGGCTTTGGTAAAACCATGAGCGATGGATGAAGTAATAGTGCTTTAAATCTCGTTCTCTTATCTCTGTAGTTCTCATCCTCTTTCTTTTATGGCATAGCCTTGTAAAAAAAAGGGCACTGCAGGCACTTATCTCTGCTTTCAAAGTGCTTCAAGTCTGCAGATGGCTTGGCAGGAGCTCAGAGTTGGTTGCATCAGCCCTGAAGAGCTAAACCAAATCAGCCAGATGTAAAAGTACCCTTGTATAATGGATCATTACGAGCTCAGTGCATAGATCAGCTAATCTCTTAACGTAACAACAACTGCCATAAAGGATCCAGTGTGAGAGTTTGTATAAGAGCACATTAATGACGTGTTATATCTGAGAAATTGTCAGACATGCCGCACTGTAAAAATGTGTTGCTACCTTTATGTTCAAGTTAACTTTATACGTAATTTCAACTTACATGCATTAAAATGAATAAATACATCAAGTTATAATTTGTATAAGTTTAAAAATAATCTTGAAACCTAATTAACTTGCTAAAATAAGCTAAAGTAACATAAAACCAAATATTTTGTCGTGACATATTTTATAGTTCAGCCTGATCTCACGAGGAAACATTACTATTTTATATTTTGGCAGAAAAGTACAATTTTTAAAAAGAGCTGTGCCCCCAAATTTTATTTTACATCATAACACATCAGGCTTAAATGTACAAATGAGACCATATAAATGAATATGAATTTGTACAATATTATTAGTGCATTTTGTAGAAATGAAATCATACAAATGATTACATTTGTATGAAAAATACCATTTTTTAAGGGGGTGTGCCCGAAACCCCATCCCTAACCCCAAACATCATTGGGGGATGAGCAAATTCATATACATATCATACGAACAGCAAATATACAAATAACATAACAAATTATACGAATAGCAAAACATATTGATTAGCATAACATACAAACTAGCCATTAAATCAAAATGTACAATATGCCATGAGATTGTGTTGCACATACTCTCAAGTAGGCATGGGCCAATATAAGATTCTGACAGTATGATAACCTTGGATAAAAATATAAAGTTTTCCCTGTATTGTGATTACTGCTATAAAAACATGTTCTTTTTAAAAGTCTGGGTAAAAAAATAAAGCTTTTTTCCCTTTTGTACACAATGTAGCCTATTTTATTTTGAGAAGTACCATTCAAAACATTTTGGGACAGTAAACATGTCAGCTAAATAATTCAAATGAATTATGAATTATTGACTTCTGCTCTTTTCATTAATTCAAAAACACAGACTTCTTCACAATTTGAAACGGCATCTTTGGATATATTTTCTGCTGGAGATACTGTTGTCATACATAAAAAAAACATATAGGAACGGTTTAGCAGAAAATGTTGGCGGATTTAAAACCTTGACTTTTCCAAACTGTGTTTACCTTGAAAATGGTTATCGTCTCATGCCTACACTCAACAGTCAAAATTTTGGGACCTTTTGCTCAAACAAGACTACAATTATTTACCAAAAAACTGTATGAAAAAATTAATAGCAGCACCCCTTCATGTCTTGTGTAGTGATGGTGTTGCAAATGAAATTCTTACACATGTCACACTTTAATGTTGCCACTGGCATCAGTTATCTACTTTCAGACATGATCATTTGTTTCAATTTTATCACCTGTAATTGATAGGACACTAGGAGAGTATATACAGGAAAGAATGAGGAGAGAAGGGAAGGATTGGCAAAGGATCTCAAGGCGGGAATTAAACTCAGATTGCCGTGAGCACCGGAGTGCCATAAAGCAATGCACTTACCACTACACAATTGGTGCCGACAGTTCTGATTTTTTTAGTTTGGTTTGTTTGTTTTGTTAAATCAGTTGTACATTTGCAAGTTTTAGTGAACTTGCAGAAAATGAAAGTGTAGTACAGAAAATCACGTTCACGTTCTCTGATGTACAGCTCAAATCATAATTATTTGTTAAATTGATTTTGAAAAATAATTTTTTTTAACCCAGTCCTAAAATTGGTTATTGTGGTGATTAAAGCTTGATTTTATTGCTGAGGTGTTAATAATTTGGTTGTTGTAGCCCAATGCTGGGTCAAATGTTGCCAAACCTAATGTTGGCTTATTTTATTATAATTATTTTATTAATTCAATTTAAACTTCACTTTTTAATCCAACAGCTAGGTTTGTCCATATTTGACCCACACATTTGGTTATGATAACCCAACACATTGTTTAGAGTGATTGTTGTATTAATTATTTTACTTTTGTTCATTTTAAAAAGAACAAAAAATGGTCCCCTAAACACTTATTTCAAGGTGCACTTTGATTCTGTAGCGAACAATGAACAAAGAATTGACTGGCACTTTTGTCACTGGGTTATCGCTTCAGTACATTTTGTCTTTGTTCTCCTGTGTTTGTTAAAAGCGTGTACAAATTTTGCATTCTCTTTAAAAAGCCCTTTGTTTGAGAGATGGGACTCGGAACGTCATAATGGGGCCAGTGGAGCTGAGCTTCGTATAATGAGAAGAACAGACAGGGGTTACATTGACACATACAGAGGCGCTCTTGTCGTGAAAGATCTCTTGAATGGAAAGAGAGGGATAAGAGGGAGGAATAGTGGGATGGCGATGAAAAGAAAACATGGATGTGAGAGGCAGAGAAAGGGAAAGTGGCCGAGTCAAAAGGCAAGAGTTGGTAAGCATTGATGTAATTAAAGAATTGTATATTGAGTAATACACAAATGTTGAATATGGGCTACGTCAACAGGGAACATCACAGGTTATTGTAAAAATTTACTTTTTTTGATGAAATGATTTTACCCAACATGAAAATTCTGTCATCATTTATTTGGCCTCTTGGTGTTTCAAACACAACTTTAATTTTATCATAATTTGAAGTGACATTTTGAGAATTTTTCTGTCTGTTCTTTTACGTATAATATTTCCTTTTTATAATTAGCACTTCTTGGGTGTATTGCCTCTTCTTGTTGAATCGCTGAAGGCTGAATTCCTCCTCATTTCTAAGTGGCTTTTGACTAAAGCATCTCCTGAATGATTAAATATAAAATGTAACGTATGTTACAATGAAAGTGAATGGGGGTAGGGCTTCCAGATTTCTCCTCAAATTAGTTTTAGGGTTGGGGTTAGAATAAGGTTTTGGTTTATTTTCTTTTATTAATTATTATTTTTATTGACTTTCATGGACATTTTAGAGTAAATTACTTTGAAGCATGCACATTTAATATAAAAACAATAGTGTAATTAAGTTCTAAAAATATTTTCATTCACAAAGGTAAATTGTATTTAGTCTTATTGTATAATAGCACTAAAATACTATCATATATTTATCATACATTTCATATATTTATTCAACATTTGCCAAACAAGTTATGCAGCTGATAAAAAAAAGTTTTGCAATTATTTTTACAAGTTTTACAAAGGTTTTCCACATCAAATAAATCTTTGTGCCCTGCATCTAAAACTATATAACATCAATGACTTTTGATTATGAGACACAGAAGAACCATTGATTTTACTTTTTTCCCACATCCAGTCCCTTTTTATAAACAATATAAAATAAAAGGTGGCAGCTTATGACCCTACAAATTGATTTTGAC